GGAACATTCAGAGGAGGTGGAAATGTTGCTTGAACTGTGTGTGTGTGCGCTTTCCTGAGATTGCAGGTAGGGAAGTCAACGGACATTGTACTTTCTGTCCTACCTCACATAACCAACCAGGCATCAATAGCTTTACTGATAGGAGGAAGATTCGCCAGGCCGAGCGCAAAGGCCAGCGTTGCCGCAAAGTCAGTATGGCCATAAAGGTGATCTAGATAAAACGGACCGAATCATTACGGCCCACAGGCCAAACGCGAAACACTGGTGGACTGTTTATTTGCTCAGCATTGCAAGCGCGACCTAAATGGAAAAGTGTATTAATGTTTTCTGCAGCAGACAAGCTGCTTACAGTAGTAAGTATCCGTCGTTGGCGTCCTGGTTATCTCACAGCTGAAGGGTCTTTTGGTTGGACCTGTGAAAATTCGACCAACCTGCTTTTTTGTTTTCCGAAAAAATAAAGGCCTTATGGGCTATCTGTGTTGTACGTACACGAAAGGAAAGCTCCCCGTGGCGCTCTAAAAGTGACCGAACGAATTTTAACAAAAGCCACTCAGGCTTTTATGGTGACACACTCAGAATAGCCTACTTACACTTCAAAAAATCCCCACCAGTTGAACAATTAGAAGAGCAACCTAATCAAGGACAGTTTGGTGAACATTTATTTGCACCTCGGCTGCGCCATAAGCACATCATGATGAATTAGCTGGAAACGAGCTTTCGTGTTTCCGCTACTGAACTGTTTGAGATCAAAGGATTTAGATGTGCAATGGAGACTTTTTAGAATGAGCTGGTGGACGTTGTGGTTGTGGTTGACGAACACTCTTAGAGAGGAGATCAAAAAGTGTCGGAGGCATTGTGTTAAAACGTCGGGTATTTTTGCAAATGAGCAAAGTCCTCCGTACATTTGCCTGCACAGTTTCGAATGTTTTCATGACAATCCGTTCGGAATACAAGACTGTATAGCACACTCCTCTCTTCGTGGGCCCAAAACTAAGTACGATAACTAACCGCATTAAAGGCGATTGAGGGAACATCAAAGATCGCCTGCGGTCTCTGAACGTATCCTCAGCAAATCTTAAATGAGAACACACGAGTGAGGTACAGTTTTAATCTCAGAAAAACTGACAGTTGTCTGTTTAGTCTGTCATGGAAACCTATCAGTGAAACGATTTTATATTCACGTGCTCATTTTTTTCACTCAAAACTTGCAAATCCTCAACTATTCTTTTTTTAAATTTCATCTGCAATGACTTTCCTCTTTCTCATTAACAATCAGCACTCATGTACCATTATTTCCGCCTGCACATTTTTCCTTCCTCGATAGGGGCACAGACCGTTACTGTTTTTACCGAGGCAAGGGGTATAGAAAAGAATGAGGAGGAAGACATGGCTGTAACTGTTGAAACTTCGGAACCCATCTATTCCATATGTGTTTTATCGGGATGGTAGCTCAGTTTCAGCAAAGCCCAGAACACTATTGGATGCAGGTTTCTGTTCTAAAGATTCGAATGACATGTGCTGAGTAGGGAGGGAGAGACCTTCCTCTGCTGGTAGATTAACCCTAGAGCAAAGGTTCCTCATGACCAGAGAGCTCTGCTGTCGGACGTAACAATGTTTGAGCAAGGGGGCAAAGTCGTTTTACTGTTTTGTGTTGGGATCTTTACATCAAGCTAGATCCTGTCACCTTGGATCACAAGGCCGATCAATTTCGTGATATTAAATTAATCGGAAACCTCTCCATCAACCAATTCTAACTGTTTCCGTAATTTATTCAGATGACGCTGGTGGAACGCATGGTTTCTGTGCTTCTTCATCAGACCGATTAAGTTGAAATTGAGGTGACCACAAAAAAACTAGGCGGTTCGTCCGCATCTTAATGACAGTTACGGTGCAGCTTGCAAGCAATTGTCTGGCGTCAACATGTCCACGAGTTTCTAGGTAAGTTGGTTTTTTAATACAAGCAAAAATGCGTGTTACAGTTGGTAGGTGCGAAGAAGTAGATACAATCGCTGGAGGAAGAAATGTATTCGCTTGAAGCTTCGGCGCCATTATAGGTGACTAAGCCGTGGAGGTGCTCAGAACAGTACAATTATCAGGCCCACTTCTGTACAGGAAGAAAGGGGGTAAGGCCAGTAGGAGTTGTTTATTGTGTACAGGAACTCAGTGGTGGTCTGAAGCCCCGACATGCGGCAGCCCCCGGGCCCTGCACGCAAGTCTGTCTGTTGGCCCACTGCGGGCGTGAATGCATAAACATCATGCAAGAGTGAGTCAGTGGCCACTTGATCAGCTGATTGGCCAATAGCAATCTACGGCACCGACTCACTCAGAAGCTGATAGAGGAGCGAACTCACGTGACGGTTTGCGGGCTTGACGCCAGTGATATCAGTAATGCAGAGGCTAATGAAAGTAAAGTAAAGAAAGTAAAGTAACTCTCGATTCTATCTTCATCCCTTTTTCCCGTCAAGCAACTCCACAAACCACATGAGCATTTTCTTAACACCGCTTTTTTTGCACCTACTGCTAAAGTAATCAAACATTTTTAAGAAGGTTTGCAGTGGTAGTTGTAGCACAAAAAGGTCTTGTAGGGCTCAGCGTCTAGCATTACCCGCTATGATATAGGGCACATTTATAGTCATCCATTTATCAGATTGCAACTCTTAGTGGACAAAAATGGCTGACCAATAGTAGTGAAATTGCCCTTTCCCGATGGAATATCAAAGGAAAAAGAGGCGTTCAGCGAAAGTCGGAGGGAGACGGGACAAATCGTCAACCTTGATGCTGTTGAGATTGTGAGCCGAGACGATGATCAGACAAAAAGGCAGATGCAAGAAACCTGAATGACCCCTGACTGCTCTGCCACATTAGCATGCCTTCCCCTATCTGGTTTTACGAACCTCTTGACAGGACCCATCCCGGCGTGGACCAATCAAGACAACCAATTATCCCCGCGGTCAAGAGTGGTAGGCCGACACAGGTCACAGTGAAATGCGAGTCCGATACAGTCCCCCTTCCAATCGGCATTGGCGAGACATGCCCGTGATTTTGCAGGCTGTGTAGGTAGATAAGCGAAATGACTACTACCTTTTCCGGTAAACGCCCCTTCTTTAAGGCTGGCTGGCTTTCCACCCTTGTAAAAATATGGCTTGTCTGAGATACGCCAGAACAGCGATTGTCTGAGCAAAGTCCTCAGTGATGGAATCACCGAGAACACTGCAAACTCTCTTCTGTTCTACTCAATTACAGCTTTGTATTTACGCAGACGCTGGTGGCAATCATCGCTTAGGGCTCTCGTCATCTGCCTTGTAAATCTCTTCGCAAGTTCTCTGCCCATGGACGTGTTCACGGGAGACTCGTATTTTCAAGGAAAGTAGTCCTTTGGGAGAGTGACTAAATTTACTCAGTAAATTTTCGACACTGGATCCCTAAGTTATCGTCAGACTTGAGAAAAATGTGCAAAGAACAGTTCTGCTCTGTTCTTTGCACATCTTTCTCAAGCCTGAAGGCAACCTGGGGATCCAGTGTTGAAAATGTACTGAATAAATTTACTCATATTCCCAAAGGACGCCTTTCCTTGAAATTACATTTCTTGGAATGCCTGTCTTCCAGTTTATAGGAAGCTTGTATCCCAGGCATTGGGGTGTCAGTCCGTCTTTGATGAATTTGTGCAAGAAACCTAGTTGCTCGTACGGTGCTACCTCTTGTGTGGCGAAAATCTTCCAGATGCGAGCTGTCCGAAGCGCATCGCGCCAAAAGTTCTCACGAATTGAGGCAAAGGTTCGCATCCTAGGTACGTTTATAGATTGGAAAGATGAAGCCGTGTAGATTACCAGAATCATAGTTTTATTAGTCTGAGCTTTCGAAATCTTGCGGGAGTCCATCGTCAGAGATAAAATCGTCAACGAAAACGAGCAACATATATAGGGGAAGGGGCCAATTAACCGTCACAGGGGCGAGGGAGGGAGAGGACAGAGAGAGTGTGCCGGCGTTCTCGGTGATTTCATCACTGAGGGCCTTGCTCCGATAGTGGCTGTGCTGGCTCCTCTCAGACAAGCCAAGAAGGGAGTTATCTGGCATCGGAAGCTGAATAAACTACAACCACCCGACACAGGAAGCTCAAACTTGGTACAGAACCTATCCTCCAAGCAACTAACGGAACGACGACTACGTGTGCTCCAGCACGAAGCGTGTTTGAACTCCACCGATACCGACCCTGCCGATTTCATTGCAGCCGTAGAAGCCATGGTTGTGAGGATGGAAACAACAAACAATGAGAAACAATCCATTCGACAGCGGGCCACCTCCTTGCTGACGACACACCGACGAGCCCAATGGGTTTCGAAGAATGAGGCGAAAGCTGTTCAGGAACTAAGAACGGACGACAATAGTATCCTACTGCCCGCGAATAAGGGACGGTCAACAGTCGTCATAAACCGAGAAGACTACAATGAGAAAGCCAAAGCTCTATTTGATGACGGAGAATTCTACGGTCCAGGACAAAGCTCAGAAGAATAAGCAGTATTAAATCGGTTGAATAAATTACGTGCAAAATTCACACGCCGGAATGTGATCACTGAGAACGAAGGGCGTCTGGTGAAAACAACAAATACTGGCTCGCTTCTATGGTCTACCCAAGTTCCATTAACCGAAAATTCCATTGCGGCCGATCAGTCCCCTAAAAGGCAGCCCCACATATAATTTGGCAAAATGAGTGTGCTCGAAACTAAAATCCGCCCAAGAAAACTCTGATGCCTCAGTTCGTTCAGCCTCCCAATTCCTGGCAAACCTCCATAGCCGAAGAATTCAATCGGACGAAATGATGGCTTCCGTTGACATGATATCATTATTTACATCCATTCCACCGGATTTGGCACGAGAAGTCATGCGCAGGAAGCTTGAGGAGCTCTACGACGAAACCCAGCGTTCACTCAAAACTGAACACCTCATGAGGCTGTTCGAGGTTTGCTTAAAGTATACTTCACCTTTGCTGGAGCAACTTATGAACAAATCAAGGGAACTCCGATGGGCTCTCCAATCTCCTGTTTAATTACAGAATTAGTCCTACAAGAGCTGGAAAAGATTGCCTTCATCCAACAGCCCCGATATTTTGGTGCCGTTACGTTAACGACAAGTTCGGTGTCGTCAAAAGGAACACGCTGCATAGTTTCTATGATCTTCTTAGCTCGATCTTCCCAGATATATAATTCACGAGAGAAGAAGAATAGGATCAGCAGCTACCCTTCTTTGAAGTTCACATCACGCGAATTCCCGACGGGTCTACAGGAAGGCGACAAACACCACCCAGCTTCTCCGTTTTCACAGCAACCAACCGGTGGCTCAAAAACAAAGCTGTGTGAGAACGCGGTTCAAAAGAATCCAGACTCTCTGTAGTAACCCGGAAGAAAAAGCACGTGAGGGCCGACATCTCCGCGACCAGTTTATGCGAAATGGCTACCCTAAGGCCTTCATAAGCCGATGCCTACGTGCTCCGAGGACCCAAACAGAGCTAATCCCTACGATTTGTCGTGCGCTGCCATATATCAAGGAT